CTTTAAACAGGATCCCGAGAATTAAAATAGGAGTAGTGGAAATTATATAGATGGTTAAAGTAGTTAGAATAATAAATGTGCGATGCTTATTGTGTTTTTAAGTGGAAATATTCTTTATTACATTGGGTAGCCAAGAAAGTCTTGGGTTATATGCAAATTGGACACATTATTGGGGACGAATATCAAAGTGGTTAAGTAGTATGTTCAGTTTAACGCCGTAAATTACCAAGTTTGAATATTGTTTGAATCATTTCGGTTGAATTACAGTGAACAATTTATGAAATTAATAAATATAAACAAATTGAAACTCGTTAGAACGAAGCGGTGCGAAATGATAAAGTTTCATTTAATCAAAAGTAGTATCATGAGTAATACCAAATCGATAAACTTTATATAAATTTTAATCAAAAATTCTGATTAAAATACAATATATATATATATATGTTTGTGTGTATACAGAGTATATACAGCATATATAGATGTGTATACAGTGTATATACAATATATATATACAGTATATATATATATAGTATATATATATAGTATATATGCTGGGATCTTTATCCGAAACATCAGCGAAAAGCATTTATAAAAAGATGATCTATCTAAAAGAAGGAATTTAAGTTGAACTTTGACGTTACTGATTATAAAAAAAAAAAGCACAGGTAACCTATTTCGTTATCTGAACAAGCCCCTTTGCTGCGGAAATTTATAATGATTGCAGTCATTGTCTTTGTTTTAAAAGTACACCAGGTATAAAATGCGCATCAAGATTGGATAAAAGCAGATAACAGGAATATGACAGGTCTATGCCATTGTATTATTTTGGTATTTATTTGTGTAGTTCTTTCTTGTTATCTGATATCCCAAAGTATTTCAAAGTATTTAATCAGGGAATGATGAGCAAGGGTAAACATATTTTGTTAAACCCTGATTTGATGCCCAAACAAGTAATGCAATGCGAAATATACGTTTCTTCCTGCAAATTGACATATTCTAACAATGACAACATTCAATATGAATATGAAATATGAATAAAAAATATGAAATAAAAAAATGTGAATAACATATGAGTACAAGAAGACACAGCTTTTAATTCGTAATTGTATATACAAATTTTCATATAATGATTCATATAAAAAAAATTCATATACTGAATTTTTTTTTTTTTTTGTTTTTTATATACAGTCTATATATCTATAATAGAAATTCTAATCTACACTTAATTATTCTACTTTTGAAAACTTAATTGTTAATACTTAATTATTTTTTAAACTTATTCTAATTTCTTATGCATTTTTTGCTGTTGATTTTCCTTTTTTTTTTTTTTTCTTAATCAGCAGACTTTCATAATAGCGCCGGGTTTAACGTCATCCACAATTTTAACGGTAACTAACGGTAGCTTTAACGGCAACTCTAACGGCGCACAACAATCCAATGTGACCAACGTTTTCTTCATTTTAGCAATATTGACGTTGTCGACAATAAATCCTATAAGCCCAAGATTCTAATTTATCATTAATTCGAATCGGTCGACAATTATATACACTAACGTGTTTTAAATTTTTGAAATTTTTGTGATGATTATAGTTAAGTAAAGGAGAGATCATGGTATCGTTTATGTTGTAACAATCAACAATGTCTAATTTTTCTAACTTTGAGCAATACTTTAAAGTGTCCCATTTACAACATCCATCAAAATCGATACCTCGAAATCCAATATGTCGTAATGTACGTTTTTGTTTTTCCAAGGATGGAATTATAATGTTGGCGAATTTTTTACATCTTGATAAAATTATTCGTTTAAGCCCTCGTTGATTTTCTATGAGTAATGCAAGTTTTTTTGCGACGAGCATTGAGGGTCCGTCATTCACGCTCAAGTTATTAATTCTAATTGTATTCTTGAAATGATCAAAATTTAACATATTAGTAAATCTTGAATAATATGATTGCAAAAAAAAAACTTGTATATATACGCATATATATATATAATATAAAATAAATTAATATATACCAAATGCTGACATTGCTTGATGAGAGCACCCAAGAGATTGGCCTTTGGACAACTTTCGGGGGTATTTAATTTATCAATTGAATAACAATTGATGTTTAAATTTTTTAATGGTTTTATCAAAGGACAAATCGAGGGTTCAATCAATAGCATATATTTTTCTTCACAACTAGTACTTCTAATACTCAAGGTGTTCAAGTGAGCAGACCTCGCGACAAATAATTTTAAAATCGATCGCAAAATTGCAGAAACACTTTCTTCGGTACCATCCTCTAAGTAAAATCTACACCAACTTTTTACAAATGAAATCATTTCATAATAATCAAGATTTTTTAAAAAGGTTGGATAATTAAAAACGGGTAAATCATATTTTCCTCCAGGGACATATACACCATCGTTATATAATTGTTGACGTTCAGAATTGTCAAGACAAGATAGAAATGTTTGAATTAAAAGTTCTCCACCTCGTTTATGACAACGATGAAAAGGATGACGCCAAAGGATGGGTATAACACTTTCACACCAATGACTATTGACTAGTAAACATGAAAACAGGCTACTATAAGTTTTAGGATTCGGTGAACCAAGAATTTCATCTCGGTCATCCAAATATTCAAAAACTTCAGAAAGAATATCAGATATCAACATGAAAATTTACTCTATATTTATATATATATATATATATCTTCAATATTTCTATAAAAAAAAAAAAAAATTATTTGACAAGATGTCAAGAATAAAAAAGAAAAGAAAAAAAAAAAAGCAAGGGTCTATTAAATTTATTATAACATTTTCTTTTGAGCAGTAAAGTGCTCGGCAATGTTTGTTAAATCAGCATCAAAATTTATTCAATTTATTCAAATATCAGGTTTATGTAATAGCGCGCTAAGATACACAAAGTTTCCAAATATATAATGTCAGAATGTAATTAAATACGAGAAAAAAAATTTACAATATTCACAATACATCACAATACTTTTCTTTTTCATTTATTTATTTATTTATTTAATTTTTTTTTATTTTTATTTTTATTTTTTTTTTTGATATATAAAGATTAGCAACACAGATACTATTTTAACAAATCAAACGGTTGAATAGGATTAGTTTATGTGGCAAAATGGAGGGGACAAAGACTCTACAAGAAGAAATTGATCCCCAACCCGCGCCAAAGTTTTTTTATGATAAATTTTTTTTTTTATGCGGGGTAAAATAGGTCAGGTGGCCATTGTACATACTCCACTGGGCTTAATGCAGAATCATAATAGTTTTTGATAATGGGCGTTTTTCCCCTTTCTTGACAAATCATTTTAACTGATTTTTGCATTTTTTTAAAGAATACCTATCAAGACTAGCATTTAGAAACGAATAATCCGTACCTAACAATTAAAGCAAGAAAGATATAGTAATATACATTTACTTTTCATACTTGTTGTACATAAATGCGTGTGTAATGTCACCATACGTATTTTTCAAATAAATGAAAGGATTCTTCTCTGAAAAGAAGAAAAAAAAAAAGGCTGGTGTGTTCAAAAAACGCTAATGCATCGACAAGGATAGTAAGAATGCCCCCCCTGCATCCAATTTCCTTTTGCTTAAACTGCATCGGAAGAATGATCTTTTATTATCTATTATTAAAACTGTCAATCTTCTTTGACAGATTGATAAAAAAAAAAAAAAAATCAATAAATGTAACACCTATATCATCTTTACATACTTGATACATAGGCACTTACGTACTCACGAATTCTATCCGAATGATCACCGTGAACTTTACTGATGATCATGATGCAAGTGAAAAAAAAAATGCGTTAATAGATACTGCAGTACCCATGTTCTAACAATGGAAATTGCGGGGCACAAACAAATTCTTTCTTTTTCTTTTATGGTGTCTAAATTTGATTCTAATATCAGCATCATTTGTTTCGGAATTAATTACAAACCTTTACTCCACAAACATTATTAAATAATCATAACAAGAACACAACTGTTATACTATTATTTGAACTTATTAACGTTTTTGTCTCTCTCCTCTTGCTTTTAGAGGGCAAGATTCTCGAAAAATAAAACCTTGTTTTAGAAATTAGTATTTCACAATCCAAATAGGAAATGTTCCGTATTGTATTTCCGTTCTCAACCGATAATGAATTACTATTTTTAACTCTATAATTTTGGTGAATTGCCATCATCACGTGATTGGCTATAAAACAAGGAAATTTGACGAGAGATTATCATGTAAAAAAATTTTCCGCTCTTTTTCGACACTGAAAAAAAAAACAGATTTAAAAAAAAAAAAAATCGAACAATAAAACAATATAACCCACTCGAAATTGATAACGAGAATTCATAGATGTATGCTGCGTTACGTTTCAAGTACATGCGCACTAATTTGGATTGTTATTAATAGCCGTCAAATGTCGATCAATAACATTTATCCCTTCTTTTAAATACAATAAACAACGGAAAATATGTGCGCCTATAAACTTGATTATATGCGTTTTAGAAAAAATTTGTAATTTCAAACTATTTTCCCGATATAACTTTTACCCATATGAAAGTTCAGGATCTTTGAAGTTGACATTAAATTATAAAATCATATGCGTTATAAAAAAAAATGCATGAGTTTAGTCGATATAAATCTCAATACAAAATGTTATAATATCTGATATACTAAATAAATAAATGAATATTTATTTATTTATTTATTTTAACAATATTACATTAATTTTCATGAATGAGATCGAACTTATGTAATAGCAGATTAATCGTCAGTGAAGCAATTTTTGGTTGACAAAATATTTTATAAATTTATTTGTTCAATTATTTTAAATACAGATCCTAATATACATTAGATACCGTATCGGGTATGTATGCTGTCATTTTTCCGAGACCATTTGATACACTACTTATACAATGCTTGAATTAGTTGATGTTATTACAACATTTTATAAACTAAATTATCGTATATTAAAATATCATATTCAAATAGCATGTGCTAATGAATGCTAATGATTTATTAATAAGATTCATGATTTTATTATAAGATCATCTGATTTCAATTATTTCAATTATTCAATTATTTTCAATTATTTTCAATTATTCAATTATTCAATTATTTCATCAATTATTCAATTATTTCAATTGTTTCATCAATTACAGAATTATTCAACTATTCAATTATTTCAATTGTTATAAACTGTCAATTGTTATCGTTAATTGTTGTTGCCCCATAGAAAAATAACTTAAAGACGCAATCATGCATTGAGTATGATAATCACTTTACAAACAATAGATTTTTCTTAACCAATCTAAACAACTTTTGTATAATTTCAAAAAATGCATGGAGTATTCGTGGTGCAGTTGTAACCAACAAATACGTAGAACATTGATTAACAAATAGAACATTGTTTTAAA